CAGTGATCCTCATGCTTCAGCCTCCCCAATACTGGGATTACACGTGTGCTACCAATCTTAGCTAAATTTGAATTCTTAACCTAGAAGGCTACCTGTCCTTTCAAACACAATGTCTTAGGGACTAGCGATATGGCTCAGCGACATAAACCCCTGCCTGGCAAGCGTGAGGTCATGAGTTCAATCCCCTGTACCCAAAATAAAAAAACAAAAATAACCAAAAAACAAAAACACAAACACAATGTCTTGCCAGGCATGGTTGTGCAAGCCTGTAATCCCAGCATGTAGGAGGCAAAAGCAGGATTCCTGCAAGTTAAAGGTCAGCCTTTGCTACATAGTGAGTTCAAGGCCAACCTGAACTATGTAGCAAGACCCTGTCTCAATAAATAAACAAACAGATAGCTAGAAAGAAAAAATAATTTAAAAAAATACAATGTCTTGATACCGGGCATGTTGGCACACAACTGAAATCCCAGCACTGGGGAGGTAGGACCATCACCACTGAGTTCAAATCCAGGCTGAATTACATACCAACACCCTGTCTCAAAAAAACAAAATACATGCCGGGTATGGTGGTGCACTCCTGTAATCCCAGCACTCAGGAGACTGAGGTAGGAGGATCACTGCAAGTTCAAGACGAGCCTAGGCTACAAAGAAGAGACCAAGACCAGGCTGAACCTCACAGCAGAGACCCTGTCTCAAAAAGACCAAAAAAACCCAAAACAAAAAAACCCCACCAAAATACACACAAGTACCTGCCTGGCAAGGACAAGGTTCTGAATTTTTTTTTTTTTTTTTGTCTTTTTTTTTTTTGAGAAGGGGTCTCACCATGCAGTTCAGGCTGGCCTTGAGCTCACTTTGCAGCCCAGGCTGGTCTCAAACTTGCAACGATCCTCCCACCTCAGCCTCCCGAGTGCTGGGATTATAGGCATGAGCCACCTCGCCCTGCAAGGTCCTGAATTTGATCCCTAGTGCAAAATACAAAACAAAACAAAACAAAACACAAGCAGAAAAAAAGCTACATTGTCTTCCCATTAGCTGTATGACTTAATATCAAAGAAAATGAAAGGAAATGTGCGGGACACAGGGAAATTAGAAACTAGCAATGCTTTATAATACCCACTAGGCCAATTCCACTTAAGCGTCATCTACCTCCCCCTAGCTGGGTTAGTTCACTCCCAACAAGATGGACTTAACTGCATTTTACATTTTTATTTTATGTCTAGTCAACTGGTGAAAATATATTAAGTAGCTTCAACGATCAGAATCTATCTAGGTGTGTGACACATGCGTGTAATCCCAACACTCAGCAGGCTGAGGAAGGAGGATCACTGTGAGTTTGAGGCCAGCCTGGAGTACACAGGGATACCCTCCTGGCTCAAAAAACCATAAAACAAACAAACCATTAGAAAATGAGCAACATGAATTCAATTTTACATTTTCATTTCTCCCAAAAGTAGTATACAATATGTTTAAAAAAGCATTTTTTTGGCAAAATGTAAGGTATAGTCCTTGAATTGTCTTAAATGTAAATTACATTCCTTCAATTGTTTTTAACTGTAGATATAACCTCTTAAGATAAATAGCTAAAGTAACAACTCTTTCTTTCTTTCCTTCTTTCTTTCTTTCTTTTTGTCCTTGAGACAGGCTCTCACTATGTAGTCCAGGCTGGCCTTAAACTCACTTTGTAGCCTAGGCTGGTCTCAAACTTGCAATAATCCTCTTACCTCAGTCTCTTACCACGCCCCGCTTCAAGCAACAACTTTATAGGAGCCAAATGTGCACTATACTAACTTAAAAAAAAAAAAAAAAAGGAACCTATTTATAGAACATCTGCAATGTTCAGTTTTTTCCTGAATAACATAATAGCACTGAACATTGAGTATTCTAAAGATATACAGGAAACAATAACTTCAGACATAGTGACACAGGAAAATGAAACTAGCATAATCTAATTTTTTGTAGTGCTTTGCAGGGATCATCTATGATTAGAGGAACCTCAGAATTATATAGTTTGAATGTTCACTTTTAGATTTTTTATTTTAGAGGTTCTCACTATAATAGATCAGGCTGGCCTTGAACTCATAGTGATCCTCCTGCCTCAGTCTCCTGAGTGCTGGGATTACAGGCATGTGTCACCACAATTGGCCTTCACTTTGAGAATTAAGCAATCTCCATATGCTAGTCTTTTCTCCATCATCATCAGGTTTTTGTTTTGTTTTGTTTTGTTTTGTTTGGGAGGAGTATTCAACACTTATTACCAGTGGGAAGACAGGGTGACCTGAAGCTGAGACTTCTACATACACAGCTGCCTACACTACAGGGAATTGGTGGATATAGGCTGGGCACGGTGGTGCACAACTGTGATCCCAGCACTTGGGAGGCTGAGGCAGGAGGGTCACCTCGAATTTGAGGCCACCTTAGGCTACATTATGAATGAGTTCAACACCAGCCTGAATTGCATATCAAGACCTTCTTTCAAACAAAACAAAACCCACCACCAAATCAAATCAAACAAAAGAAACCATCAAATAAATGTCCAAAGTAAACATACTAAAAAAGAAAGCTAGAGGAAAGGCATGTAGCTCAGAAATAGAGCAAGTGTGTTAAGCACACAGAGGGCCCTGGGTTCACACACACACACAAAGTTAATTCTCAACTCTGAAGTTTTCCACAGGGGTCCAAGGCACCAAAATGCTACAGAAGGAACCCATCTTTGAAATCAGTATGGGGTCAAATCCCAGCTGGGTTACCTCTAGTGAAATTGTTACTCCCTAAACCTCAGCTTCCTTGTCTATAGAGAAAAATCATAGATTAAGCTGTTTTAAAATTGTCTTTTAAATACAAATTACATAAGGAAGCTGCACCAAGGGACTGTGCACCTATAGTCCCAGCTATTAAAGAGACTAGGGCAGGACAGCTTGAGCCTCTGGAGTTCCAGGCCAGTCTACGCCACATAGCAAGAAAAGAAGGGTATAAGCCGATCTAAAACTCGGCAGTACCAGGTGTTGTGGTGCACACCTGTAATTTCAGCTCTCAGGAGGCTGAGGCAGGAGAAACGCTTCGAGTTCAAGGACAGCTTAAACTTTAGAGTGAGACCCTGTCTCAAAAAGACAAAAAAATAAAATTTGGCAGTATTCTCATGGTATCAACGAAACAAGGTTTGGGCTCCACCTCTGTACATGGAAAGGATTTTCCTGAAGTAAAGGATAGCTTAAAAGGACAGCTGAAAGAATACTAGACAAACGTCAGACAGACCAAATTACATCCCACATGTCTCAATTTATTCAGCTGTAAAACATGGGGCTGGGCAAGCTCATCTATAGGCAATTTACACATTATGAAGATCTAAATTCCCAATTTCTGTGAAGTTCTATACTCATTTTTGTTCCTTTCATTTTCTTCCCATTTCTTTTACGTGAAAAACTTGGGTTTTTCAAACAAGTGAAAAAATAGATCTCCGTGCCTAATAAACTTATGGTTTGAGTCACATTCAAATTGCAGGCTAACCTTCTCACAGAGGGTGGCAAGAGGGTGCCTGGATGATTCGTTCTTATTAGTGTCAAGTACTAAAGGCCTTCACTGGAAATTCCACATTCTCTGGCACAAAGTCACTGTTAAGCACAATGCCTGGCATATCGTTCTTAAAAATTTGGGGTGAACGAATAAACATGCAGCTGACCCCTTTTATTCCCTGCAAAACCTTCTTGACTGGAGCCAAAATTCCAGAAAGCTGGTAGGCAGCTAAGACCGCCACCAAATACCCTCTGAATGAAATGTTCCTTAAACTGTTCAGTTATACTAAGAGGAAAAATAAACAACCATGGAAGAAAAGCTGAACCAGCGGGGAAAAAAACCAAAAAACTTCGAAGCCACGTTTGAACATTCTCTCCGAGACACACACACTGGGACAAGGGGACATTTCCCATCCTTTTCCAGTCAGCACCTGCAGACACGCTTGGGAAAGAAAGACCCAGCTCCTGCTCTACCCTGGGCCGCTGGACTCCTACACTCGAGCCCTCCAGATGAATGTCGCTCGAGCCAGAACTGCACAGACATGAATCGGAGGCACCAAACTGAGACCTCCCCGGCTTCACGAGGTCACTAGAGAACCATAAACTGCAAAAACCAAGTTAAACCCGAACCTATTAGAATCGGAAATGCCTACTTGGGATAAATTATTTTCTTAAGAGTTTGGGGAGGCCAACAAAAACTCCAAAATCGAGTCGAACGGTCCATCTCTCCCTCCCCTTCCCCTCCCAGGAATGCGGCTATTTTACAAATCGCACCCCTCCCCCTCGACCCCGACGAGCACAAGCCGAGACCAGACTTTCCCCGGGGCGCAGATAGGTGGGCTGAGAAGGGGGAATCCCCGGGGAAAGGGGCGGCCCGCTGGGCTTCGGGTTATGCTGCAGGGGTTCCTGGGAGACCTGCCTGCTACAGCCTCTCAGGGTAGAAGTGAAAGAGGAAAAAAAAAAAATCCCCAGGTTCGCCCACCGTGGCGGATGGCGCAAAGTGGTGAGCGACTTTGGCAGAGAGCGAATGGCTCAAAAGTACTCCATGTGCCCCTCCCCTGCCCCGGCAGCCCCTTCCAGCTCTTTGCCGCCGCCTTCATGGGGAGTCCCTTCTCATCGGGGCACCGGAACTTTAAAATGGTGCCTCGGACGGGGGAGCTCGACTGCAAAGGAAAGGTCCAGGTGGGTCGGGACCAGCTGGCGGGTGCAGGGGTCAGGAAAGAGGCTCCAGTGCCGGGTGGGGAGCCCCGGGTGACGCACACACCGGGGGGCGGAAGGAGGCACCCCGGGCAAAGGTAGAGGGAAATATGGAACGCGGCCCCTTTAAGAGGCCTTCCCGGCGCTCGGGGACCGGGGACCTCTCCTCCACTCCCGGTCCGGTGTGTGAGGCCCTTCTTTGGGGAGAACTATCCCCAGACCCGCTCCCCGGAGGCTTCTCTCACGCCAGGTCCCGCCCGGCCCTGCCCCGGGGCGGCGGCTCCTCCTTACCCCGCTGTCTGCCGCCTCCTCCCAGCTCTCAGCGACCTCCTCATCTTCCATCTTACTCGCCGCTTTGCCTCCTCCCCCAACCCCTCCCCGCGCCTGCGCCCTGAAGCGCACCTCCGTCGCGGGCGCGGGCACGCAAGACTACTCAATGGACCCCGCCCTCTGCTGAGCCCGGAAGGCGCTCCAGGCCAAAACCCATGCTAGCTGCGACTGCCATGTTTAAAGATGGCAGTGAGCCCACATAGCTGCCATTTTTCTTGAGGGCAACGCGTTATTTCTCGTATAGAATGGCTATTCAAGGGAAGTCATCCTCTGGAGTACGGGAAGTGTGTACGGTCTTTTCTAAAGACAAGCAGTTACTGAGAATCCCTCCCCCGCGCCTGTGAATTGAATCCCAGGAACTTCGCATTGAACTGTATTCCCCACTACATCCCCAGCATTTTTAAATTTTGGGGCACAAGTTTCCTAAGTTTGTAAATTGCCCAGGCTGCACTGAACTTGCAGTCCTCCTCCCTCAACTCCCCAGAGTGGGCTTTACTTTTTCGTTTTTAATTTTTTTTTTGAGACAGGGTCTCGCTATGCAGTTGAGGCTGGCCTTGAGCTCACTTTGTAGCCCTGTAGTCTGGTCTCTAACTGACAATGATCCTCCTGTCTCAGCCTCCCCAGTGCTGGGATTCAGGCATAAGCCACCACGCCCGGCTCTATTTTTAATTTTTTTTCAGGATTAACTTGAACTCACTGTGGAGCCCCAGGCTGGCCTCAAACTCTCAGCAATCCTCCTGCTTCAGTCTCCCGAGGGCTGAGATTAAAGGCCTGCACCACCGTAGCCAACCCAAAAACATTTTTAATATTTCAAAAAAGGATGAAAAATATCTATGGGTGAATAAAACATTTCTGATAAGGTGAAAATGATTACAGTATTTTCTGCTCATAAAGTACTATTTGATCTTTTTTTTTTTTTTTTTTTTTGTCTTTTTTGAGACAGGGTCTCGCTATGCAGTTCAGGCTGGCCTTGAGCTCACTTTGTAGCTCAGGCTGGTCTTGAACTCTCAACGATCCTCCCACCTCAGCCTCCCCGAGTGCTGGGATTACCGGCATGAGCCATGACTCTCAGCTCTTACTTGACCCGTCTAACAATACTTTTTATCCTCTACTGTGATGAAAAGTATTATGGTGAGTTGATAATATTGTACCTGAGCTAAGACAACCAGAATTGCCAGCTAGTGAAATGTAAATGACAGATAAATATATTAGCATTACCTTTAAAAGATGACTATAGCCAGGCATGGTAGAGCAAGTCTGTAACCCCAGCATGTAATCTCAGCACTACAAGCTGGGCGTGGTGGCTCACACCTGTAATCCCAGCATTTGGGAGGCTGAGGCAGGAGAATCCTTGTGAGTTTGAGGGCAGTCTGGGCTACAAAGTGAGCTCAAGGCCAGCTGGAACTGCACAGCGAGACCCTGTCTCAAAAAAAAAAAAAAAAATCTCAGCACTACATAGCAAAACCCTGTCTCAAAAAAAAGTTGAGGGGGCTGGGGATTTAGCTCAGCGGCATAAGCACCTTCCTTGCAAGTTTGCCGTCGTGAGTTCGATCCCTGGTACGGATAAAAATGAAAAAGACAAAAAAAAAAGTTGATTATCCTTCTTCCTGTGTGGTGTTCCTATATTATTTTCCTTCAGTATTAAAGTGGAAACTTTGGACTTTATGTTTTGCTTTGTTTCGATTTGTTTGAGGCAGGCTCCCACTACACAGTGCAGGCTGGCCTTGAACTCACTTATGTAGCCCAGGTCAGCCTCAAACTCATGGCAACCCTCCTGTCTCAGCCTCCCAAATGCTGGGATTACAAGTATGCAAAATCACACCTAGCCAGTGAAACCTTGGACTTTAATGTTCAATTTTAGGCACTTACAATTTGAATGGGCTCTGTGATATTTTTGGTACGTTATTAAAGTTTCTGTGCCTCAGTTTCCCCAAACATAAAAAATAAAGATAATAATAATCATAGCTACTTCAAATGTAGATAGAGTAAGAACTGAATGAGGTTACTATGATGAAAAGTATGAACAGTGTTGTATCAGTCAGGGTTTGCTCAAGAAACAGATACAACACAAGATATACAAATGTATAAGAAATTACAAGGTTGGCTTACAATGGTCAGACACAAAGTTGTGTAGAAGGTGTATGGATGCTGGAGACTGAAGGGCCCAGCCCAAGGGCTGCAGCTTACTGCAGTGCTCCCTGCAAGTACGTATCAGGAGACTGATGGGTCTATGACAGAACACTGAAGAATCTACCATGGAAGGCTGAAGATGAATACTGAGAAGTCCCAGGAAGAAGCCAAACAGTCTATGCCAGAAGCCGGGAGACAATGTCCAAACTGAAGGTGAAGACTGGAGCTCCTCAAAAAACCAGCAATCAGCTGGGCGTGGTGGCTCACGCCTGTAATCCCAGCACTTGGGAGGCTAAAGCAGGATGATCATTGTGAGTTTGCGACCAGCCTGGGATACAAAGTGAGCTCAAGGCCAACCTGAACAGCATAGGGAGACCCTGTGTCAAAAAGACAAAACAAAACAAAACAACCCCCCCCCAAAACCAGCAATCAGTGCCTCCTCATTTCCCTTTTGCTGTTTGCAGGCTGCTCCCCTGGGGTGGGGTAGCACTCACATCATCTGCCTGCCCTCCTCTTGCACAGGCTGAGGATGTTACAGAATACGGATTCTCGCCCCCCTGCTGAATCACTTAAAGTTCTGACCTTCTCAAATTGACACAATGAACAATATCCTAGAATGGGTACCTGCTTGTCCTCCACACTCCAGGATGCAGAACTGCTGAGTCACTTCATTAAGCTTCTAGACTTCTCAAGTTGACACTCTTTTTTTTTTTTTTTTTTTTAATTTTTATTTAAGGAGAAAAGAAAAGAAAGAAAAAAAAACAGTGAAGGGGTACAAGTTATACAGATTTACAGAAGAAAAAAATGCGCAGTAGGAAATCACTAGTTAATGGATTACATATTGCCATCTTAGAAATAATTGTTCAAGTCACAAAATTAAAGCTTGTAGAGTGGACATTCCAACAATGATACTGCAAACAGTTCTGTTCAATGATCCAATAAAACTCTGTGATATCATTTTCTATCTTATACACTTAAATATACATGCAGTTATATAGTTTAGAGCACTTTCTTTTCCTCTCTTTTGTACAGTGACTATTACACATTTTGGGTTTCATTGCTCCCACGGTTCTTATTGCTTTTTTGGAAGAGAGTAAAACCAAATGTGATATAACAGAACAGAATCGGTCAAGTCAAAAGGGTGGATATAATAGATAATATAAAAACATAATACAAGGTGATCAACAATGGTTACCATAATGCCTCCCGCTGTTTCTAATAGAATTGCCTATATCAATAGTTGTAATACAATTAAACAAAACCGTAAAGAATAAAACCGACAAAACCAAAACATTGGAGATATTGTAGGTCTTCAAAAGTAGATAAAAGTCAACGAGAATGGGCGTTATAATGAATCTCATTATCTTCTCAGCTGATGCCTAAACTTTCGAACCTGATACTATCCAGCAAAACAGAATAGGGGAACCTCAGTCAAAAACAAGATGGTGAGAGTAATACAGGGCTTCAAATCGAGATAATAGAAAGTCAAAGTGGGTTACTATATTATATCCTGCTATATTTTTCCCTTTAATTAAATGGATAAAAATAAAAAAGTAAATAATGGAGTGGAGATTGAGAAAAAAGAGGGCATAACAGCAAAACAGGGCAAATCAAAACATAACCATTTAAGCAGAATAGTGTTTCACCACCAGATAATCCTGACCCAAAAATAGTTACCATATTGACTCCCTCCCTGAAGTCCTTGAGTACAACTTCATATACTGTAGCATTAAGTATATCAAAACAATGTAAAACCATTTAAGAGAATGACAGCATTATAGAGTATTTAGAATCGACTAACAGAAAATGAACAATGGTCTCTGTATAATCTCCTTGTCTTTAAAAGGTTTTTGCTTATACTATCGTACATAACAAAATCCAATAAGATACAACCTGTTTAGACCATTGGAGACAGAAGAACAAAAGCTAGATGAGACTTCAAAACAAGATGGTACTAAATCAGCATTACCTATTAAGATGTCATTTTCTCCAAAAAAAAGCTGTTCCTATCATCCAATCTTCTCTGTCTCATTTCTGTTGAGCTCTTTTTCTGTCAGTAGCTGTCAGTTTGTCTTCTTCATTTTGTTCTCTGCTCCATTCGTTGTGGCCTCCCCGCCACTATTTCTGGGTTCTTTGTATTTTTCTTTTTTTAGAATATCCTGCAATACTTTCTGTAGGGTTGAATTGGTGGTTGCAAATTCCCCCAGTTCCTCTTTATCCTGGAAGCACCTAGTTTTTCCATCAATTTCCAGGGACAGTTGTGCAGGATATCTCAATCTTGGCTGGAGATTATTATCTTTCAAAGCTTGAATTATTTCTCCCCATGCTCTTCGTGATTTGATGGTTTGTGAAGAGAAATCTGCTGTAATTCTGATGGGTATTCCCTTGTAAGTGATCTGTTTCTTGTCTCTTACAGCTTTTAATATTCTGTTCTTGTATTGAATTTCTGGAATTTTTATTATTATATGCCTGGGTGTTTCTCTGTTAGGGTTGTAGGTAGCTGGGGTCCTGTATGCCTCATACATCTGAGTATCTTTACCTTTTGCTAAATTAGGAAAATTCTCCTGTATTATTTCTGTGAGTAGCTTTTGTAGTTCACTTGTTTGTGTCCCTACTTCTTCTTTTATGTTCTTAATCCTTAAGTTATGGCTCCTCTTATCATCTTCTTGTCTTTGTATTATTGCTGTTTGTTTTTTTGTTATTTTTAAGAAGTTTTTCATTTCATTCTCCCATGTTTCAAGTCTGCCCTCCAGTTCAGATAGTCTGTCCTTAGTTTCTTTCAAGCTGTTATGCCAGTCTTGGATAGACTTCTTAATTTCTTGATAGTCCCTTTGAACCTGCTTCACATACTCAATGCTTTCTCTGTTTTCTCCATCAAGCAATTCTCTCCTCTTTTTCTGTTCTTCCATTCCACCATCTGCTTTTTCCTGGGTGGTGC